CGTCATTCAACAATGAGTGCAGGATGTATTCAATATCAGCGGGAAGTGGCTGGCCAGTACATTGTAGATCACCGTATCATCAATAGCATCGAATGCTGCATAGCATGCCTGAAGTATATTCAGTACCGACGCATGTCACCATGTGATACACGTACAATGCTTGCTTTCCCGTGTCTGTAATATTGATCCTGTCATTTTTATGTTATTCTATCTTAATCATAACAACAACAAATAATAGTATGCTTACCCTTCTTTATTAACGATCATATCCAAACGAGACGTGATTTGATCAATCTGAAGAGGTGCAAATCGAAATCGCGTACACCGAGACTGTAATGCCGGGATAATCTTGCTAACGTAATTGCAAATGATGCAGAAGCGAACATTAGTCGTGTATTTCTCGATGACTATCATGCAACACTATTATCAGCCAATATCATCATCAATTCCTTGTGGTATTCCTCCACTTACCACGTCGCAATGCTGATTGTGCTGCCTGAGTCATGGCATCGGCTTCATCGAGTACAATCAGTTTGAATCCAACGCTGTATATTGTCATTACTATGAGTTATTGTAATGGCATTGCTCATCTTCATGTACTTACACGGATGTACGACGTGTGCTAGCAAAACTGATAATCTGATTGCGAATCACATCAATACCGCGTTCATCTGATGCATTCAGCTTCGATACAAGACAGCAATATCAGTATTACGACATCAACCATCTATCAGCTCGTTACCACCGCCTACCTCGAGTACCATTGATGAGAATTCACTCTGTACAGCTGACGAGCACACGCTAGTATGGTCGATGTTTTACCCGTGCCAGGTGGACCGTAGAACAACAAATGAGGTAGACGACCCTGTTTTATGAAGTTCTGTACTGTAATACTATTAGTATATATCCTATATTACTGTTACTTGCGTATGCTTACACGTCGATACAATCTCCTGCTGCGATACAAGATCGTCCAAGGTTATTGGTCGATACTTTTCTACCCTGTATACACCAACCGTATGAATAAATATTTGTAGTTTACAGTAATTAAAGCAGCTTACCAGGGCAGGTGTTGCTTATGGTCCTCCGCAACACTGTCTATGTTCATTTCTTGATCCTTGCCTGTTTGGCTGGGTAGATCCACGTCCATAGTCGTCATTATGAAGAAAAGAAGTGGTAAAGAAATGAAACGTGTTTTTTCTGCGCGTTATTGAAATTAAAAGGGTGAAATTACTATGTATTTATTCAATATGAACTAGGATGCTTGATTGGGGACAACAGCATCAGATACATGTTGATATTTACGTAATGAACAATTGAATAGCGACTTGAGTAACATGGACATCGATGGACATTAGCATCTTCTTAAGCACAGGCTTCAGTTACTAATATTAGAATTACCACCATTAGCAATAACGTTGTTAGTTTGTTCATTCGGATGGGACGTTTGGTGTACAGTTTGACTTCCCTGAACGTTGATTGGCAGTCGTTGAGCGAGCAACGGCTTGACTATTTTCGCTAGAGCTAGAGCTGGGACTGGGATTGGGATTAAGTGAACGGCGTTCGACAACAGCACGACGCATCCTATTGGGCTTAGCTTCAATGGCAACCAGACTGGTGACAGCGACAGCGGCAGAGAACTTCATGTTTATTAGTTTAGTGGAATGATAGACAGATAAACAAACTAGAACGAGAGTAGAAAGTAGTAGTAGAGTAGAGTAGAAGAGCGAGTATGAAGATGACAAGTCGATTGCGTCAAAAAGTGCTTGATTTATAGCCGAGATGATGATGATGGCGGATATTGGTATAGCTGCATTGGCAATCTGCTGCTTATTGATAGTGCATTGAGTAAGCAAGTACCAATTAGATGAATGTTGTTCATGTCGTATAACCGCATGTTTGTCAATTGTCTGAATCTACATTATCATCATTTTAGAATACTCCATCAATAATGACGCGTACACTTGCTATTGTCATTGTATTGAGCAGCATGTGTATGAGTATAGATGACATGGAGTATTAGTAATGAGCATGCTAATAATGGCAAGTGATGTCATGTAACGCTTTTTCTTTTTTTTTCTTTAGTGCGCAGTTTGTAATTGAGACGTCCATTTATCCAAAATAAGGGTGAAATTAAGGGACAGAATACAATCAGTAATTACCCTACTATTAATGGCAATGTACATGTGGAGTTGATGTTATTTTGGTCTGCAATGCGCAGTTTAAAATCGAAATCACTATACCCGAGAGAATGGTATATCCAGCTAATTTACGACATAAATAAGAGATGGCAATATTGCTACTTTCTCTGCACCAGCCATATTCTCTCTTGCTGCTCTAACTTTAGCTTCCACTAAATATTACGAATACCATGCGTTCACTATTTCATCCTAATACATTAACGATAACAACCGCGGTGTTGGCATTGATATCATGTGCTACACATACGCAAGCACTTGAAGGTCGTCTAACTGGTAATATAGCAAGCTAAACATCTGTCTACTGCTAATACAAGCGCATATTTGTAGGACCGGATAATCCAAACTCGTATGGTCGTCAATATATGAATCAAGTAGCGGCAAATGAAGGGCTGTCAAAACCTGTCTGGTATGGCGGCGGAACGAATGAGTTTAGCTTTGCCAAGGTTACATATAATCGACAAGCTGGATTTCTGAAATGCATTCCAAGAAATGATGAACAAACGGCATTTGATGTGAGTGTAATGAATGTCGTTTATTTGCTATTACTTATCCTTGTATAAAAGAGGCTTTTAGCTGCACGAGAGACGCTTACGGGAATCAATGGGGAATACCGCGATCATGTGGCATATCCGTTGACACGTGTCGAAGTTCCCGCACAGCAATCTCAACCTAAAGGAAACTGTTTCGTCTACCGCAATATTGATGGCAGGAACTATGGGATTACTTGATAAAGAAAGACTATGGAGAACGTACCGTTTTTATCAATCAAATCATGCCACAAATACTTAAAGGTAAGCAGTTTATTATGCTCGTTAATTCATACACTAACTATTCTATAGGTTCCATCTACCTTTATAATGCCGGTATTAAGCACAAGGATTTGCACGTAGGCAGTAAGTATTATCACGCTATGCCACATCAAGCTAACGTGTAAATGTAGATATTATGGTCCAGGAGCAAGCTAACGGGCAATTGAAGGCAATTATAATTGATTTTGACAAGGTGGAAATACTTCCGCATAATAGACAACTCATAAATATCAACACTGCGCCGACAATGGGCATTACTGGTCCTAGCAGTCCCTACTTTTGTTATAACTTCCATCAAGCACCTCTGACATATATTCCATTCGTCATTGAAAAGGGTATGCTGTTGGATCGACAAAACATCACACCCGATGACCGTATGAAAATAAGGGAGCACATAAAGGAACGAGCTAAGAAATCTCCGCAAGCAACTGAAGAAAACTTGGATAAAGCCGTAGATGCTTATGTTACGTTGCTTCGAGTGGCTGCTATACTTGCGCGCGGTATAGACTGCACTAGTTTTATGACCGTATTGAAGGACGTCTACCCTTTGTCGCTGAAGCCGGCTGGAAATAAAATAACGCGTTATTTTCGTCAAATGCCGCAGAAGTTTCGTAGCAGCATAATGGCCTAGATTCTGACGATAATTATCGCTGGTGCACTGGGCAGCGATATGCAATCATTAATGACTTGTAGTAGCTGATCGAATGATGGCTAATACTTTTATGATTGAAATAAACTTACGATTTCAACGATTCAATTCGAAGTGTAAATCAATTTATGTCAAGATGATGACAGCGTATCATTACAACTGCCAATAAATGACCATTTCATTCATTAATGTATTAACAAAGAATTGAATGATGATGGAATGTTCGGTGCGTTGACAATATACATACATCATAGTAATAGCAATAATGCCGATTATCGATTACAATAATCCACGAGATGCTGAATGGATCAAATCGGCCGAGCAGGAAGGCGACATTCTACATCATCCACTAGGTGAACTGAGCATCAACGACTTTTATATAATGGCAGCGGGAGATCAGTCCGAGCAACGTAAAAGACTAATAGGAATGCAAGTACAGCTAGTCTACTTGTTTGCTCGGAATGCTTTGGTAGCATGTCGAGCACTTGTGTCAAAACCTCATAACCTACCGCTGTGATGCTCCTTTTTGTCGTCACTTCCAGGCACGCTAATGGTGGCCACATTTCTGCTGATACCGCTAGTGGACGGGCTTAATTGTCAAATGGCTTTCAGCACCGAAATGGCCGATATAGGATGTTCAATGCTGTGTAATAGTGCAATCCTGCTTCATAAAGTCTACTCGGTCCTATCCAAGCGGAATGGATCTTGTACATTGGCATCTCGCTAATACTACCGCAAATCGCCTATCCTTTCCTAATGATATGTTGCGGCTATTTCACCGTAGAAACAACACTCTACTGCTTGGTGTAATATCCACAGTTGATGGTATGGTATTGGGCGGGCGTCAACATTCCGCTCGGCATGCTCTTTTCCGGTATATTCTACCATGCTGCCTATAAGCAATACGTACTGTCACCGTTTAGTATCTGGGAACGTATGGCTCATGATGATACACAAGCAATGCTCCTCGCCCTATTCTGCAGGATCGTTTGTTCTACCTGCATTCTCGTTCACATTGACAATGTCAATCAGGACAATCTATTTGTTCTAGACTGGTAAGTGATAGTGCTACGGCAATCACAAAATAAAAATCATCTAACTTGTGTGACTAGGGCTATAGTCTCCACAGTACTGACTAATGACTGTTGCAACAACCAAGGAAGTAAGCCAACTGAACGGGAGAATCATGCCAAGAAAATCTGAATAAACACGACATACAATCTTTTATTTAGAAATAAAAACAAGTTGCCTTGATGTTATAGCATGTTAAATTGCAATAAAAATGATAAATACTAGCAGGTGATGTATTTGACGGCCAAGAAATAAAAAAGCAAAAAACATTGGTCGCACTGAGAATCGAACTCAGGTCCCCAGATTCAAAGTCTGATGTGCTAACCATTACACCATGCAACCGCCGATAAAATGTTGTGTTTTTTTACCTACTAGAATTAGGCATTAATTTTGGTCAAATTTTAAAAATTTGCGCTTTTTTTACGTTTTTTTGTAATTAAATAGTATATAAACGTTGGCTTTATTATGTATAAGCATGTACATGATGCTTAAGCTTGTTTTTTGCATATTAAACATGATTAAACCATATTTATACACTAAATTGTATCAGTTTTTACGTATTTACTATGCCGTTCGACGAGCGCCTGCCCGCCTGATGCCATATAACCTATTTTTCACTATTATTGCTACAGTAAACAAGCAACATAGACCGGCACTGTTTAGGCATAAAGTATTATTGCTACGTTTTACTTATTTACTTATGTTTATCGCCATAGCATTATGCTAAGGGAGGAGCATGTGGTACCGTTTGTGGCGTGTTTTTTAAACGGCATGACTACTATTACCACGCTCCCAACGATGACTCCGATACATGCGGCCGAGCAAATGGGTGAATGCACGGAATGCTCTTCATATAACCGCATCAAGCACGTCACACGACCCTTGGCTCCTCATCTGTTCCTCTTCTCTATTCCTCTTACCGCATTTCTCGTCTACCAATACTCAGCCTAGACAACTCATCTGCTCTGCCAGTGGTGTGATCGCTACCTCGGTCATGTCGAATCTCAAGGATATTCTAAAGAATCGTAAGTGCACTCCTACTGGAACGCGTCGTCGAACTAACGTGGAACGCGGCAATTCAGGCTATCTGGAAACGGTGCGTTCTGTGCAACCACCGGCGCGCTACAAGATCGTCATAGTCGATGCTACTTCGGTCAAGCTGCTTTCGGCAGCGTGTAAAATGTACGACATTCTCGAGGAGAATGTGACATGTAAGTATTGCAAAGCATATATGCATATGTAATTCCAAATTCTATGCCACTGTTACTTATCAACGTTCTGTAGTGGTGGAAAGCATCGAGAAGAAACGGCAGCCATTCACCAATCTCGAGGCACTCTACATACTTACACCATGCGTAGAAAGTGTATTCCTAATGATACAAGATCTTTCTAATGGCGGACCAGGTGGCAGGCCTGGCTCAATGTACGCTGCTGCACACGTCTTCTTTACGCACACGCTCGATGATATGCTTTTCAAAAAGATCACCACGTCAAAAGCGAGCCCGCTCATTCGAAGCTTAAAAGAGCTCTACGTCGACTTTTACGCCATTGAATCCAAGGTGTTCTCACTTGGACTGCACAACACGTTCTACTCGTTCTTTGGTCCAAAACATGATAATATGGATAAGGATCTGCCACTGGTTGCTGATCGTGTAAGATATCGTAGAATCAACTATATATATCTATATGCATTTGAACACTAACAAACAAATATCTCTATAGCTATTCTCGGTATGTTCTACAATTGGTGAAAACCCAATCATTCGCTATCATCGTCCGGGCAATGATCCCAATAGTTTTAATCGTACTACGTTGCCAGCACAACTTGCAAATATGTTGCAGGACAAACTCGATGAATTCGTCCGATTAAGTAATGGCGAGTTTCCTGTAAGTAATAGCTAGCGGTGTAACGACGAATAACTACGTGTCAACTAATACGACAAAGCCAAAACGTGAGGGTAATCCACCGCGCGCCATGCTTTACATCTTAGATCGAAGTGTGGACTTGACGGCGCCGTTAGTGCACGAGTTCACCTATCAAGCGATGATTAATGACCTGCTCAAGGTTGAGGATGGCACCAAGTATACGCATGAGTTTGTATCGGGTTCAGGCGACGTTTCCTCGAAGGAGGTTATCCTCGATGAGACCGACAACATCTGGGTGGAGTATCGACACGCTCATATCGCCGAGTGTAGCGGGAGACTTACGGCAGACTTTAAAAAACTTACCAGTGAAAATAAAGCGGCAGCCGCCGGTAATAAGGGCGAGGCTAGTCTAAGCGATATGAAGCGTATTCTCTCGGATCTACCGCAATTCCAAGAGCTAAAAGAAAAGGTATGTCGTATAAACGGACATCAAGTGGAGTAAGTCAACCAATTAATATGTCGTCGTATAGTATTCGGCACATATTAGTATGGCGCAAGAGTGTATGAGTCTGTTTAATAAGCAGAAACTACCAGCTATCGGTGAGGTCGAGCAGGATATGGCGTGCAAGGAAACATCCGAAGGAGAGTATCCAAAGAATCTAGTAGAGCGACTTTTACCATTGTTGGATGATAGTTCAATTACGTGAGTGTAACCATACTAGATGACATAGTAATAGTGTTTGTAATAACCATCATTGATTGTCATTTGTTGATTATAGCGAGGACAATAAGCTTCGTTTAATTATGTTGTACACCATCTATAAAGATGGCCTTAAATGGGTCGATCGTTATCGTTTACAACAGCATGCTAATCTCTCGGAACGAGATATAATTGCACTGGAGAATCTGGAGCTCTTACATGCACGTATTACTAAAGTAAGTGCGTGTAGATGATAGAGCAGTATACGCGTTACTTACCGTCTATACTTCTTAGGAGGCTCATAGTGGATTTAAAAAGCTAAAGATACCTCGATTGAAAAAGAATAAGGTCGAAGAGGTTCCGTATGAGCTTTCACGTTTTGTTCCAGAAATACAAAAGATCCTAGATGTAAGTATTCACAAGCTAGAACCATTTGTTATATCATAACTAATCAATATATATATATATATATATATATATGTATGTATGTGTATGTGGATAGAAACAAATCAATAGTCATGTCGATGATAATATATTCCCCTATACGCGTGAGGTTAGGCCATCTGAACTAAACGAGCAAGCAAAGAAGACTGTACAATCACTAAGAAGGTATTTATTTATTTATTTACCTGTATATTATTTGACTAATTAATTGATTGACTATGCTATCTTTAGTACAAAGCCAAGTTGGCAGAAATCGGTACAGGAACGCGTAAGTATTTATTATCATTATTGTTAATGTATACATAATCATATACTTATCATTGGAATTGATAGACGGAAAGTAGACCAGTTTCAGGAGGGAAGATCATCGTATTCATCGCTGGCGGTATCACCTATTCAGAAATACGTGCCGTATACGAGATAGGTAGAAAGTTTGGACGTGACATTCTTATAGGTTCAACACATATCATTACCCCGCAACAGTTGCTCAACGATCTACGACGATTGCGAGAGGGACCACCGAAAGAACTACCGCCACCGCCACCACCACAGCCAGTACAACCGGTAGCGGATGTCACAGGACAGATTGGTGCGATGGGCATTCAGGATAATCCGCACATTCAAGCGAATGTTGGTAAGCACAAGGCTACCAATAGTGGAAGTTCCAAACATGTATTTGGATTGTTTGGAAAGAAGAAATAATGATAGCAGCAGTAATATGTTATTGTATCGGTTTAGTAAAACTTATTATAATTAAATAATGAGATAGTTAATATTGTACTCTCTTTATTCAATGTAAGTTGCATGATAAGCATTAGATGTATTAGTGTAGTATTTCAATAGCCACAATAGTAAGTATTGCCTTGTAATCGGCAAATAGTACCGATAGGACAGGTTGTCCATACAAATTGATTAAAATTACATATACCAATACGGTGACCGTCACATTTGAATGTATCTTGCTGACACGGTGTCGTATGTTGATCTCCCTTCATTGCTTCATTTGTCTTTAGAGGCAGCATAGTAGTAGCTGCCATGCTTGCATTGTATTCATTCGTGTTACTAGCAGGAGATGCAATTGGATTTGTTGCAATAGTAGATTGTACTTCTGTTTGTATGGGATCATTGTGTTTATTATGATGTATACCAAACTTGACCTTTAATTCTTGTGTAAAATCGGCATTGCCACAAGTACATATTAGATCATTTGGATTTGACGAATAGCATCGATTATACTTGATATCCCAATGCTGACTATCGAGACACATTCGCTGGCATGTTGTCTTCCATTCAGGAACAAGACATTCGGCTACGACCAATGAAATGGACAAGTATGCTAATATAATAGCACTATAGAAAAGATGCAACATAATAATAATAATAGCAATATAGATAGTGAATGGCGAGCTACATTACTTGCTAGAACCAAATAGTACGCGATACGACATTTATATATCATAGCTATAACAGCATAACAAACTTATTGTTACCATCGTAACAATGCTGCTAGTCATTTGTTTACACAATGAATATCTTGTTCATGCATTTACTGTAGCAAAATGAAAATAAAACTATTCACAACGTATCCATACCATATAGCTGATGCGTAAAGAAGTGCAAAAACAATATGTGACTACTTTTACGACCAAAAAATAAAGCAAAAAGAAAGCACCGGTACAGGGAATCGAACCCTGATCTCCTCGGTGAAAGCGAGATATCCTAGCCGTTGGACTATACCGGTTTTGCTTCCGTTAAAAATTAAAATCAAAAATACATACTTATAGTACATTCTTAGTCACGTGACTATTTTGCTGCGTGGCCTATATGATGGTTTTTTACTTTATTTTACTCTCTTCTACCTCTTACTGCTACTATCACTACTCGTATATACCACTGCTTTCTACTCTCATTCTATTCTACTTATCTGTCTATCCATCCCACTAGGCCAACGTCAACATGATTTTTTTTTTTATTATAATCCTGGGCCGTAGCCTAATTTTATTTAATAAAGAAGACATGGCACAAGATCGCGTAAATATACAATACAATAGTTGTAGTGGAAGTTAGGTAGGTGCTGGACATACGTGGCTGTTAGGATAATGGGATCGTGTGGAACTTCAACGTTCCTGTATTCGGCAGCCCGCCAGGTTCAAAGGTGAACCATTGGCATTGAATTTTTGTCCAGGTTTTTTGGAATGTACTGACGGATTTGTGTCGTATAGCGTGACGTAAATCCGCTTCTATTTTCGATTTTATGGCTGATTGCCATCTAGCAAGGATCGTAATACTAGGTGACGTGACTTGGCGTAACGCGTGCTCCACTTTTGCTCGA